GTTAATTTTGTTACAACAGACGTAATGTGCGTCAATATACATAACCTTATTACCTGTCCTATTATACTACGGTGTCACTATTTTTGGTATACTATGGCAATTCGAAGACATTACAATAATATGGTAACTTTTTTCTAAGTCAAGTAAAATAGTCTTCATTTCATAACTTATACTGTTTTCAAGTGGAGATGGGGGAAGCTGGGAATCTGTATTTACAGCTATATGATTTCCACTTTTAATTTCATAAGAAGATTTAGAAACCTAAACGAAAAGTGAAACCACAAGTGAGGAAAAGAAAATGAAGAATAGGCTGTTTGGCTTTATGCCAAAGCCGTTAAAACTCTACAAACAAATCTTTACTTCATAGATAGAGCTAACGACACTTGAAGGCGTCGTATTGATTAAACTCTACTGCTCATTCTTAGGGCAGATTCCCCTGAGAAGAACGAGCAAGAAACTGTAAAAGATCTGATACTGCAACCTCGACATTCAGCAGACTGCCCAACTCCTCAACTACTTTGCAATAGACCCATTAAATTACTCTCAACGAGTTGTTAGCTTACGGATGGTGACTTTTTGGAGTACACTTTGTTCCATATTTTAATTTTTTTATTCATTAAAAATGAATATATTAACCATGGTCTCTAAAATCTACTTTTAGTGCTATTTGGAATATCGAGTTCTTAAGTTTTCGCGATTGTTACACATAGGAAATGAAACTATTTTTCCGGATCCCATGGTCACGGTTGACAGTCAAGGGACCCCGAATCGTCGGTTTATTTGAAAAACCAAATATACGCGATTTAAATCCGGAAAAATAGTTTTATTTCCTAAGCTGTTTGGAAGTTTTGTACATATTTACGTGTTCTTAACCTCTTCTTACAACTAAATTTGTACCTTGCGGCTGCGCCACCACAACTGTTGTCATCGGGCGGACAGGATAACCTGGAAGTTCCGAAAACAAATTTGAATGGCTTAGTAAATGTTTATTGTACGTATATTAATACGTAATAAAGCTGTATTACGTATATTTTATATCTTTTTCGTTTTTCTTTATCTTTTGCTAATTTTGTTTGCTTCATGGATCCTCAAAAGTGCTATACGTTTAAAAGTATTCATGTATTAATTATTTGCAAAATTAAATTATGTATAAAAACAAAATATTTTATAAAAGCAAGCAAGACAAAACAAGATTATGCGCGATCAAACGAGTTGTTTCTGTTAAATTAAAAACCTACTCGTGCAATATTGACGCAGGTGTGAGCTAATAGTACATTATGATATAAGTGCGGTAAGTTGAAAATTACAGCCAAGGCGATATTGCTATGGCTATATGATATGGCTATAAGAAAACAGAGGCTGTAATTTTCAAAGCGCACGTATGTCATACGACGTTTTATAACATATTTGCGAGGAAATAAATAAGATTCTGACTTTCTTAAACGAATAAATCTTTATACTGATAATAGTTCAGAGGTATTTATTAAGTACATAAATTCAGTTTAAGAGTTAAAGCGCCGTGCAAACGTAAACACTTTAGTGTCTTGAATTGAGTACACAATGGTTACACACAACCGGTATCTAGTAGTAAATATTCTATTTTCATACAATTGATATAAAATCGACGACATAGTGTGATTTTTATACGCTCTAATAATAATGATAATAATATAACGATTTAGTTTGTTGTGTGTCCATGGTTGTTTCTATCTCAATACAGTGTACTAAAAAACCGACCGGAATTATATCTAAACTAACTTTTAATGCAATCGGTTACCGGAATGTGCGGGAAATTGGATTCATCCCCTATTTTGCCACCCTTAGAGGTGGAATATTTCTTCAAATTTAAATAGGACCACTACTGAGGTATCCTCATTCCAACAAAACAGAATTATCAAAACCGGTTTACAAATGCCAGAGTTATCGCGCTATATATATTATATATACAAAAAAACAGTGGAATTGACAACCTCCACCTTTTTTTGAAGTCGGTTAGAAATAAATGCTTCCCTGTTGCCTCATCGTTGGCTCTCTTGCTCGTAAACTGCGGCTGACATGATAGATTTGCCTGCAAGTCTTGAAGGCGACGACGTTTGCGTTGATGACTTATAATCAGGACAACAAGCGAAATAAGTGTTCCTTCATCGATATCCATTGTGATACCGATGGAACATGCGGGATTCATTTTCCCACATCGGTCCGTTAGCAGTGTCTCGAAAAACGAGAAACACGCCTTGAATTGGAGAATAGCAAAATTATCCATTAAAATAATTGCTCCTTATAATAAAATTTAGGCACTATTTATAAAAATGAATCTTGGAAATGGACCACTATGGAGGTACCGTCTTTCCAACAAAAAAGGAATCATGATAATCGGTTCACAAACACTGGAGTTATCGCGTAACATACATACAAAAAAAAACATACAGTCGAATTGAGAACCTTCTCCTTTTTTTTGAAGTCGGTTAAAAAGGTTTAATTTTAAATTAAAACGAACTTACCGGGTTGTGGCTGTGATATCACTACTTGCGCTGCAGGCATAGCCGTTACATATTCTCGGCCTACTATCATGGCAATAAAAATGGCACAGAAATAAAAAGTGACCTTCATTGTATTTCTTATATAACTTTTCTTCTATCTAAACTTTGTCCTCAAAATACAATCGACAGTGAAAAGGTTACTTGCCTTAGCTTCCTTACTTTGATCTGAATCTAACTATACTTAACACCTTATATACTATCTGAAATCCTACGGTCATCAAGTGTAATCTTACTGCAATTACCTTTAGTATTTATTTATAAATTGCATCCTTACATGTGGAAAATTCTCGACATGCGTCTTGAATTCAAGCTGTTTTTGAATATTTTCTACAATGTTTGAATTAAAAAATATGGTACATCATATTTATATACATTTAACGGCCTGTTCATAATTACATTTATTTATTAAGTATATATTTATTTTGTATTATAATATCAAGGGACGGGAACAACAAGTAAGCTACACGCCTGTCCATAACAGTTGCAGTGCCACTCAGTGCGCCCGTCTCCCTGAGACATAAGTTGACCAGTCCCATGTGCCTGTAATTGCACCAGCACCCTTATCCTTCAAAACCGGAACACGGTAATGGTGACATTATTGCTTGGCGGCAGAAATAGGTAACGTGGCAGTACTTCCCTGAACGAACTCTTTCACAAGGGGAGCTCTACTGCTACTAAATGTAAGCAATATTTACACAATTTCCATTTATTTGTATTAAAATAACTACTGTGAACAGTGACTATTCAGTAGTTTATTAGGTTAGCACTTTTTCATAGCAGCAGAGCTACTTCTGAAAGAGTTTGGGAAGCGAAGTACTGCCACCTTACCTATTTCTCTCGCCAAGCGGTAATGTGATCAAGACTGTGTTCCGGTTTTGAAGGGCAAGGGTGCTGGTGAACGGGACTTGTCAATTTATGTGTCAGGGTTACAGTTCCCCTCAATTCTTTGCAATTCAAAGTTTTGAATGGCACTGCAACTGGGCAGGTATGTCGTTTATCACCAGGTGCACGACTTATTCGTTCCGTCGCTTGACATAATAAAAAAGGACTCAAAAAGTAAGTCTCAAACTGTCAATTTATTGTTAACTAAATTTATTGATAGTGATGAATCTTTCCAGATACATTCCGGTTTTCCAGTTTCTGAAAATGAACAATACACGTTTAATTCTTCCTGTTCCTTCATAAGTGTCATGTGAGAATTTTATGCTAGTACACAAATGTCAATTAAGAAAATTAATCTGGTTTGAAATTATCGAATCTAAAATGTAAAGTGTCTGCAATTTTAATCTTAAAAATAGTTTCATTCCTATATGTCACAATCAAAATTTAAGAATTCGATTTGATTATACTTACTTCTACGTAAACTGGTTGAGATTCAACGTCTTTTTCATCTAAAATCGCTTCTACTTTGTTACCAGTGGCAAGTAACATCAAAACAGGAAAATCTTTAGCTCTTTCTGTTACCCTAGCTCTGTTATTAACCGGCGGTGCTAAAACCGGTGCGACAAGAACGACACGATCTTTGGTGTTGTTAAAATTTCCATTTACTATCAAATAAATAGAAAAAAACAATATAAATCTGATGCAGTAAACAGCCATGATGTCTAAACTTAAGTGCTAAAGGAAATACATTAGAAGCTTTATTTATACGATAGAGTTTCAAGATCATCACGATTTGAAAAATGATGGCTATAGTCTTATTTCATCACGACTATTTCATTTGATCTATTAATAGAGTGAGTACAAGGATTAAGATAATATAGGTAAAAGAAATAAATAAATAGATACATAGGGCGCACTATAAGTTTCCGGAACTGGCCACTTACATAAACAATATTTAAAAAGTAATTACAACATTTAAAAATGGAACTCTTTGGCTATAGAATACAGTTTGTTTCATCGTAGTATGATTTTCTACGACTTTAAGTGTAACTTAACAGCTCAGCGGAGCGTCGCTCGATTTCAAACTGCTTTTGGCGATGAAGTACCATGCAAGACGACTATTTATAGCTGGTTTGCAGAATTTAAACGCGGTCGTGTGAATCTCAGTGACGAATTTCGTGATGGTCGTACTACTGTGAACAACAAAAACATCGATGCTGTGCGCCGTTCGATCATAATAGACAGGCATGTGACATACCACGAGATTCGGGCATCTTTAGGCATAGGCATGGGTCAAATACAATCAATACTACACAAACATTTTGGTGTGAAAAAGCTGTGCTCTCGGTGGATCCCAAACTGAGGCTCAAAAAACGGATTCCGTCACTTGGTGCAGTGCCATGGTTACCAGATTCTACGAAGGGGCGTCAAATTTACGCCCCTACGCGAAACATGGAATACAGTTACGATCCCAAAACAAAGCAGTAATCGAGCGTATGGGTCTTTCGAGGTGAGCCGAAACCAACCAAAGTGGCGCGCGTGCAAAGTGCCTCTAAGCGGATGATTGCTACTTTTTTAATAAAACTGGACACGGAACTACTGTTGCTTTGGAGAATCGTTGTACCGTGAATAGTGATTGGTACACGACCATTTGTTTGCTGGAAGTTATTGACAAACTAATAATAATAATAATAACGCACGCATTCAACATAGCCAATCCCAACCTGGTGCCTTGTGACTTTTATTTATTTCCAAAATTAAGAACCAGTTACGCGGTCAACGATTTCCATCACCTGAAGTGGTTGTCGAAGAGTATGAAAAATATGTTTCAGAGATTGTCACGGTGGAGTGGCATAAATGTTTTCAAAATTGGTTCATTCATATGAAAAAGTGCATTAACGCTAACGGAGAATATTTTGAGAAACAATAAATTAATTTCTGATTATTTATAGTATTTTTTTTCTTATTTTTTCCGGAAACTTATAGTTATATGTATGGCATATGTATGTTAAGACTAATAATACCAGAACCTCGGCTCCGACTATCTATTTGCACCTTTGGCCCGTGGGGTCCCGATGTCGTTGATCTTATATAAAAAAAATAATAGCCTGTCTGGGAAACCTAAGGGCCGGCCCAAGCTAACCAAATCAAACCCAAGTTACCTTTACTTTACCAACGCATTAGCATAGCTATACAAAGGGGGAACTCTGTCAGCATCTTGGGCACCTTGCCGCGGGAACCCAATTTTATTCATATAATTTAATCCTAGTATTAGTTTATAGTATTTAAGCTTTTATTGTATTTTATACCTTACCTGTCTAAATATGTAAATAAAACCTTATATGTGTAGTATAGTACAGCCGTTTACTCTTTAGGCGCACGAGTAAATATTTATAACTTTACTCTGTGTTTTCGCTTCGGTATTTTTAATGTACAAGAAATCATGACTTTGTTTACATTCCAGGCAGTTATTGGTTTTTCCACCTAGTAATATTGGTATAATTTGTATTTCTTGTTCGGCTTTAGGGTGCATTGAAAACCAGCGTTACATCCTGTTCTCGGCTGTTGCCTTAGTTTAATGACATCACTTTGGGTATACCACTGCCGTGCACATAACAGTATTTCAAATAGTATAATTATCTGTTTTGTTTTACTTTTTGATAAATATTTTGTTTAAAATGTTTATCACGTTTCTTTTTAGTTCTACTTTGGTTGTCATTCTTTCTTTTTGTGTTTTTTTTTGTATTCTGATGTTGCAATAAAATGCTTTCTACTCTATTTTATTCTTATATAAGTACTTTTAAAATACGTTTTAAAATCGTGAAATGCTTTTATTATAAAGGTCGTTTACATTGTTGTGTAGATTATTATTAGACTTTCATAAAACGACCGATTTCAGCTTGTATGAATATAAATTATACCTCATCTTGTTTTGCTTTAAAAATCTCCGAGTTATTCTATTAGAATAATAAATACTTTATACATATAATTATGTGAGATATTGGTATGAGTAAAACTTGAACAACAAACAAAAGGATGAGCGTATTTGCAAGAAAACCGGTCCAAGAACTTTTTGCGTGACCTTAACACAACGTACGATTTAATACGCAATAAAAACTACAAATCTTATTTTTTATGTATTTATTGTATTTAGTTCTACCCATTTTTTAAAATTTATGTCTCATTGTATAATAAAACGACAGAGATTTATTCTTTTTTAGCCCTGTTTTCTTGACCTTTTACGTGATCCTGAAAAAGAAAATACAACATTTTGACGTTTGTTTAAAGTTACATGCTGGCAGTGGAAAAAAATCAGCATTTCTGTACAAACAAATTATATTTACGTCTCGACCGAAATAGATGCAGAACAGTTGATTACTTTTCACGACTGAGAGGGATCCCCTTTGTAAAAGTTGTCGCATTTAAAATTGATCATATGATCAAAGCAACACTTATAACAAAAACCTTGCAAGTAATTATAAACAAATCATTACTTTTAAATAACACAATATAAGAGATATTGTCATACTATTCTAAGTATTTCTAAAAACTTACATGTAAATATAAGTATGGTCCTCTTTCTTCAAAAGCCTCATCCTCCGGGGGCTCATAATAAATTCCATCAGGCAAGACAGCCGTGTCTCCTTCAACTTTTGTCAGTTTCAGAGCACCATCTTCAGGCGGGAAGCCACGTATCAAGTCTATTAACCGCCCTCCAGTGGCTTGATATATGACTTTTTCTTTCCCAAGGACTACATAAGAACAAATGAAAATCGCACACACTATAAACTTCTGCATGTTGCACGACTTTGCAAAGTTGCTATAATGGCATAGAATTATAAGCACACATGTATTTATAAGCTTTTTCCTTTGAGGGCCTCCGATAGTTTTTGTTGTAGATTGGGATAAAAAGTTTTCGCTAGTGATGGGGGAGTTGGAGAAATATGCCTATTGTGGATATTAATAGAATATAATTTCATTACGAAGTTTACTCTAAATGCAATAGGAAACTGGCAAGTACAAAAAAACATGTAGTGTACAATATAAAACGCAGGACGTCCAAGGTAAGTCGTCTTTTCTGGTCAGAGGTTTAGTCAGAACTGCCATCATAATCTTGTATCCAAAAAAGTCGGTTTAATTTGGATCTCTGCCAGTCTTGTCAATCTGTCTTTATGGCCAGTCAGTCCTGGTTATCCATGGACACTGGACGCAACACATAGAAACAATCAAAGACATAACAATAGAGAGCGGACGGAGCGAAGCGGAGTTTGGTGATATATCACCTGATAGCCATAGCCATGCACACACAATAAATTAGAGAAAAATAATGATATTTTACTCTTGATATAAGTTGTACATTCAGCTACAACTATAAAAACTGGTTTTCTTATTTTTAAATAAAAAGTAAGTGACGGGACGAACAGTACGCCTGGTGGTAAGCGTCATGCCTGTCTATAGCAGTGGCACTGCCACTGCACCCGTCACCCTGAGATATAGTTGACAAGACCCATGTGCTTGTAATTTCACCAACACTCTTACCCTTCAAAATCAGAACGCAGTAAGGCTCACATTACTGCTTGGCGGTAGAAATAGGTGAGGTGGCAGTGTTTCCCTGGACGAATTCTTTCACAAGGAGCACTACTGCTGCAAAAATTTGTCTTTTGAACACGGAAATGTGGTCTGTGGTTTTGAAGCATCACTGGTACGAATTTTACTCAAATAATTAGTTAGTTCATTTCATTAGTCGTACATCCTCAATTGCAAATTTGTGAATTACATTTTATATTATATATTATTTTAGTTATTTGTTATGAAATACTGTTTACGATAAATGATTTTGAGATCACCGGTATTCCCTGAATGTTAAAAAACGTTGAAAGGCTAATAAGCAGTTAAAGACTGTTAGACTAAGTTGTTTGGCCGGTCAACCTGTGGGGAATCCTCCAATGCAGGGTCGTCTTTAGAACAGTTTAAAAAAAAAAAGTACAATCACGGAAGAAAAAAAGAATTGAAGTGCCTTAAGCCTCCATTACCGTCGCCAAAACTCACACAATCATAATTTGAAACACTATGAAATCTTTATAATGATTGGTCATAGTTTCTAATTGTAAAGATGTGATAAATTCTGATCTGTTAATATTATTTACCTGTAACCTAATATTGCAAGTTACGACGTTTTGCAATTGCACTGAAATTTCAATTAATGTACTGCCACCTAGCGGTCAATTGCTGAACAACGACAAAACCAAGATGTTTGCTTAGTTCTCCAAAAAAGAAGCGACCATAAAGCAGCGGTATTCGGTTTACTTTTTCTAAAGAAAAAAAAAATGTTACGATAAACTGAAAATCGAACATTCATTAAAATTAAATGAAATGAGACTTAACGATGATTAACACCACCAAAGGTAACATTACAAGGTACGACTATCATTTTTGCACTCTAAAGAAGCAAAATTAAGCACTTTTGGAGATAATTGACAAGATCATAACGTGCAAAGTGAAAATGGCGGACTGAGCTTAAGTATGTGGTACTACGCATACTGTGGGCATACGTGACACGCAAACTAAACACTTCAACTGTATATTCTGTGATTATAATAAAACAAGTACGCAGACATAAGCACCTCCCGCCTGTTCGGCGCCTAAATGCCTACACTTCCCTCGGATCGTAGGGTTGTTATATTATTATTTAATTTGTACATATAAGTACCTGAAGGTTGTAAACATAATTGAAAAAATAGAGATGTTCTCTATTCTCGTGACATATGGAAATAACTTTTGTTAAATACAGTATTTATGTATTGATATTTTTATACCAGGATTGCGGATTGGTATCTCGATTATAGGAGAAGGATATTTTTTTTTTAGAAAAAATAGTTAATTTTGTACCATCACAAACTACAAAATTCTTTTTATATACATTAATAAGTACTAGTTGTATTAGCTTATTATAGTTTGTGAGGAAACTGAAATCTATACCTGTGCTATAGCATATAATGAAATAGAAATGAAATGCTGAACAATATTGAATTTGAGGCACTCTTGGTCAAACAATCGTAAACACAACAATAAATACGTCAATTGTTTGATGGTATTTTTTAACACTGAGGGAACGCTTCAATTTTGTAATGACCCGTGCTAGGCAACGCGAGTGCACCGCGAGATTATGCGAATGCATGCGTCCGTAGAGGGCAGTGCGCGTGCACACGTACAAGCGACGCTACTCCGTTTGTAGAGTTATTATTGTCTTAACAAATGGTAATTTTTTTTAAGTGCAATTGAACTGACTCGGTGAAATTCGGCGATTAATTTTTACTTCATTATTATTAAAAAAGAAGTAGATAGGGAACGTAACTGTTTTTAAGAGGTTTCGGACTAAAATAAATGTTTTTTTTAAACCCACTTACTTAATAATTTTTTGTTTACTTTTTCGATGATTGCATTTAAAGTTACGTACTATCGTCTTCCTTAGCTATCAAATTGACCTCTTACATTGTGAGGACCAAGTCCTTAATTGTTGCGTAATGTCAGAATGTTACAGTTTCACAATGGACGAGCTTATGCATTCTATATACTTTTTACATATGGGCAATGAAATGTGCGCATTTTTTGTGTCTTCATTTTTAGCGACATTTCCATCTCGCATTGTTGATATCTGCCAAACATCAATCGTGGACGGCTGTATCGTCGCGGTAATTCGCCTCCGCCTTTCTGAGTGTAACGAAACTGTTCTGTCTTTAACTTGGCAACATACACTTGGCAGTTTTTTTGCCAACATCCAATGAGTTCTGGAGCTGCTGGACGCACTGCTTAATTTATATTCTCGAGTCGCTGGATACACCTCTTCATATTATTTTTTACTCTACATAATAATTAATTTATGTTTGGTTTATACTTATTATTATTATTAAACTGCAGTTCTTGTTAATTTTTTGATCATCATCTTTTTTTTATAATATATATATGTATTTAATCCTTTTCGCAGGTCGAAGCCGCGGGGGGAACACGGCCACATACGAAGCTATGAGGCGGGCTCGAGCAATACGTTAACGAGAGCCAGGCGGCTCAGCTAGACCTCAGCAATACCGTGACGAGAGCCGCGGTTTTATTTAACACTTTTACATCTATTCTATTGAGGAAATCTTTTCCTAAGATAAGCTTGCCTTTTTTCTATTTCTATCTATTTTACTAAATCTATCTATTTGCGAAATAAAAGACCGAACCAAAATATTTTTAATTATGAAGCTAGTAACTTACAATAGGTTATAAATGATAAGTACTTAAATCTATTTTAATTTATTACAAGCGGCCGTCTCGTACATTAATATTGGGAGGACAGAGATGAATATGCTATAGGCGAAAAACATGACGCGACGCGACGCTTCGTCTCTACCAGTGTGAGTTGAGCCTAACAGTTGCAGTGTCATTCAGACCTTTAGATCACAAAGATCTGAGAGGAACTGCCACTGCTCCCGACACCCTGAGATATAAGTTGACAAGTCCCATATACCTGTAATTATTTCAGCCGAAGACGTCCACTGCTGGACTTAGGCCTCCCCAAAAGAACGGTCTTCTGCTGCTTGCATCCAGCGGATTCCTGCAACCTTCACCAGGTCATCGGTCCATTTTGTGAGTGGTCTGCTAGCCTGCGTCTTCCATTTCTTGTTGAATCATTGGAAAATCCATAGTGTGCATACGCTTTCTACTCATATAAGTACCTACCTAACGTATGCAAGTCAAAACGTTTAATCCTTCATCATTCAAATCCATCTCTGGACAATATAGGTTGGGCAGTGAAGGCATATAATTTATTCGCCATGAACGCGTATTTTACTCAGTAACCTCTTCATTATTGTACCTACTTCTATACTAATTCCATTGCTATACCTAGTTGTAGAACCATGTTTATTCAATTATACTTTAATTGTCCTTTGTCTTACATAATGGGGTTTTTCTACTGACGGCATGTTATCAAGGTAATATAGAGAGGAAGTAGAATATTGTTTTTTTTACTGTATCAAATGACGGGACCAACAAGCCATCCATCTGGTGGTAAGTGACACGCCTGTTCATAGCAGTTGCAGTGCCATTATAGCTTTAAATTCCAAAAATATTATGTACTGTGCCGTTGCGCATGTTACCTTGAGACATAAGTTGACAAATCCCATGTGTCTATAATTTCACCAGAACCTTTACCCTTGAAAATCGGAATACAATAATGCTCACAATACTGTTTGGCGGAAGAAATAGGAAAGGTGGCAGCATAACCTTGGACGAGCTCTTTCACAAAGAGCTCTATTGCTGCAAAAATTTGTCTTTTGAACACGGAAATGTGGTCTGTGGTTTTGAAGCATCACTGGTACGAATTTTACTCAAATAATTAGTTAGTTCATTTCATTAGTCGTACATCCTCAATTGCAAACTTGTGAATTACATTTTATATTATATATTATTTTAGTTATTTGTTATGAAATACTGTTTACGATAAATGATGAACTCACACCTGAACCATTTTCGTAGAAAAGTCTCGCATTCAGTTGGACGTATGAAACAGTTGTTAATGGAATCTGGTATTGTAGCACTACTATTGACATTGGTCAGTAGAAAAAGTTTGTTTTATCATATCACATAATCGTGCCATCGGGCCTACTTACTACGAGCGTCTACCTGCCACTCTCTGACTTGAACCATTTGACGAAACATTTAGGCGACGGTTGACAGACCTTAAGGTCTTTAAATTTTCTTGGAAAACCAATTGTGCTCTATAATGAATTCATGAATTCATTTATAGAGCATAAAGGGTTTTCCAAGGCTACACGAGTACTTTCTATTTTACGCGCGTACGCGAGTATTTTCTATTTTATTTTATTTTTTATCGCATTGACGTACTTTATGTATTTCTTATCAACTTACGATCTTTGGTGCATAATGTTATTTGATAATTAAATGGCAACAATATTATTATTAATGAATTGTTAATTGTATACACAGATCACATTATGTGGTCTGTGACTATATAATTATTGTGTATTTTTTATCTTATAATTGTCATTTTTGTTTGACGATATCAATATAATTTATTTTGCTTTGACATGTAGTGTAATTTGTACTGTTTTATTATATGTGAGAAATAAATGAATCTGAATCTAATTATACGAATTCCGCAACGTAGCGTAAGTCTAAATTTATAGTACCCAATATTATCGTGCAGCTTTTAATCTCACAATGTTATCATCGTTATGTCACCTGCACATTGGTGTGT